CTTCTCTCCACAGGCATTTATGTCTGTGATGCTTATCTTCACAACTGCTGCACTCTTTTTCACTCAAGAGCACCATCCTATGGATTTTTCCAGCAGCTGAAGCCACCAAGGAGATCTGCTGGGCTGTGCTTGCCTGAAAAGTGGGCACCAAAGAATATCTAGACAAAAAAGCTGCTCCCATGTTTCCTTGGGCACAGCTGCTTGATCTTTCTGAGCTCTTGTGCTGGAGATGGAAACTGATAGTGGGGAAAGCCACACCCAGAGATGCTGTTGAGGTGAGATCCCTGCACCTTTTTTTAGCAGAGCACAGGCTTGCATCCACAAAAACAAGGAGCACTGGCTTTTCTGCCCCTCACCACTCCTCCTCCCCACCAGAGCCAAATAAGGAACTCGGCAGTGAATCCTGCATTTCATAATTTGTGTGCAAACTACGAGAACATACTAGGCAGAAAAACCTGTTCCCACTCCAGTCATGTCCATCCCCCACACCCCAACATCCCCAGCTGCATTTGTTCCCCATCGTTTGAGATTTCAGGTGTTCAAAGCAGTCATTTACCTTCAGAAGTGGTAAACGAGTTTGCATTTTACTGTGGCAGGGCAGAGCAGAAAAGCCTAGAATAAGGACAACAAAAAGACAACCTCAGAAAAGCTAAACCACATGTTTGTAGGGCCCCTCCTGCCCACAGCTAAGGAATGCTTGAAGACCAGAAGAGCTTTTTCATCTGAAAGGATAAGAGAAAGGAGAGGGACAATCGAATCTGGTTTCAGTTTATTTCCAGAATTTTACTGTACAAAATATGCAAAGTGTAAAACGGTTTTATGTTTCAGTTTAAAAAACAACAAAACCCCATCCAGCTATAACTTAAGAGAACCCGGCTTGGAACAGAACAATTTACAAGGCTAAACCCAAGTGCATTAATGTCACAGACACTAGGAATTTGCTTACGTAAGTTCACAAGTAGAAAAGACAGAAAGACCATGTACCACTCACTGCAGTTAAAGTCACATGTGCAAAGAAGAGAAAAAAAAAAGAAATCCTGGTTAGTGTCTATTAATTAGAAAACCTAGGCAAAACCCTTCTTACTATACAGTGTTTGTAGAAAAATTATTACACAGTGATAAAGGAGGGTGGGGGAAGGGCATTTTGCTCCCACCCCCCTCCTCAAGACACAATAATGCTGAATCAAAGAAACAGGCACTAAAGAGTGTAAGATTCCTTCACAGTTATGCCTGTTCAGGTAGTGGCCACAGCATCTCCCCACTGTGCACACAAGAGATACCCGCAAGCATTGTTAGCACTGGTGAGAGGTGCCTGGGAAGCGGCCAAAGGGAAGGAAGGATCCCCCTCCCTTCCCGGGCAGAGCACACCCAGGGCAGGGCTGGCTGCCTGCTGCCCACGGGGCTCCGTGTGCACCAGGGATAAAAAATGCAGTCTGTTGGAGGGATGCAGATGGGCGGGTAACGCCAGCTGTACTGCTGGCACGGGAGGGACCCTACTCAGGACCAACCCAAAGCACCTGACCTGCACCACTCACAGCTGTCAGAAACGGCAGCTTTTGGTCATCATCATGGGAAGCAGCAGCCTGAACGCAGGAGGATGCACACTCCTGTAGGAGACGTCATGGCCCAAAGCCATCCCCCGTTCAAAAAAATTGGAGGGGCTTCCTTTTTTCCTTTCTAAAACCAGCTCAATTCCAAGAGCACCTCCTTCTTAAGGACAGCTGAAACACTGAGCCACCAAGTCTGGCTCGAGGCTTTAAACACGTATAACGTGCACACTAGAGGGAGAAAAGCACACAGACACACACAAGCTGAATGAGAAAACACCTGCACACACATCTCATGAGAAGCTCTCACACGGCTGGGCAGCAGAGCCCAAGTGAGGAGCCAGCTTGGGACCAGACTACAGCACTGTTGCAAAAGACTCCAAGACTTTTGTTTATCCTTTCAAAAGGGTGGAATTACAAGTTTTGGTGAGCAAGATGAAATTGGCTTGAATAGGTTTCCATGTTTAGCAAGTTATAGATCTTTTCAGTTTCTTCAGCAGCAAGTGTTGGAAGTGAGCACATATCAAACAAGACCTTTCAAAGCTACTTCTGTGGGGCAGGACCAGCTCCAGATATTCCTCCCCCATAGCTTTTGGCTGTACTCAGCATCAGCGGATTCCAAAGGTGTTGCACAGAGAACCCCATCCCAAAGGAAAAGGTTTGGAGGCTTCATAGGGTTGGGATTTGTTCAGATCTCCAAACTTGAGCCTTACTGTGCACTGCCTCCAAGCCTCCAAGTACAGCCTCAGCACCTCCCAGCCCTGCAGATACGCTATGGAGGAGAGTGCTACAATGTTTACACTTCCAAGAGTGCTGCCTGCTCACTTCCAGGTGTGGAAAAGGACATTGAGACCCAGAGCAGCCTCACAGAATCTGCACCCATGGATGAAGCCACACGGCAGTGACAGGTCAACAGATGTGACAACACCACCTGCCCATGCCCAGTTACAGGACTGGCAAATTGTTAAGAGTAGTATCTGCCCCTACACTCCTGGAAGCTGCAAGAAGTTAAAATCTTTCAATTTATAGCCAGGAAAGAGAAAGCCAGCCTTCATGAAAACCCACAGCCATTTCCATCTGCTCTAGAGCACCTGAAAGTCTCAGCTGCATCTGGTTTTGCAAGATTTCAGGATGGCTTTGGATTTAGGCTGTAACAAATCTGAGAGCAAAAAACCCAAAGCCTTTAAAGTAGCAGCATAGCTGAGTTACAGGAAACATGCCAATATAGAAGAGACAAGTGGGGCACCACCACTCCTGGCTGGGCAGCACAGCACCCTATCAAATGGTTCAGCCTCTAGTGAAGGATGTCCAGTGCAACAAGGATCATCTTCGAAGGGGACACTGACCAGTCCATCACCAACAGGGTTGTCTTAAAAAAACCCTTGAATTCTAATAAACCCCCCACAATTCCAAACCAGGTACAAACATCCAGACTGGGAGAGAGGAAGGAAAATATGTGCAAGCAGACAGTGCAGGATAGGAGAGACATTCGGAGGAAGAGCTTGCACTTGGCTAGCAAACCCTACAAGTTGTATTTATGCTCAGCTCTTGGCATGCTTGGCAGAAGTAAGGGCTACAGTAATTGGATCAGAGCTTTATTCCCTATGACTCCATTCTTACTCATTAGCTGGCTGTAAACAGAATTAAACAAACCAGTCTGCACTCACCGATCAGTATTTTTTATACAGTTTGAATTCCTACAGATGCCACAGATCCAAGTGTGGATCTCAAAGAACTTAAAAGCAAGTTGAGTTTAGCCTCACAACACTCCAGTGAGGTAGGTAAGACAGTGGTCTCCTGCATGGAGAAGGGAAGCAAGAGAGACACTGAAAAATGTCACTAAAAATATAAGAAAAGGGAATATCCAGGAATCATGATTCTCCTTTCAGTCTGTCCTCACCTCTCAGCAGGCTGCATCTCTAAACAAACCATTTGAGAGAGTCCTCTCCTTCAGATTTCATCAGGCAAAGCACTCATGCTGCTGATATAGGGAAGAGCATTTAATGTAGGAGTTGGCCCCTGTTGACAGTGTCCTTTTTGGCAGCAGGCAGAAAAGGCTGTGTTGAACCACAGCACAAAGATGAAGAAGCAGACCCAGACTGAGCACATGCTGCTTCCGTCTGTTTCTCCATGTGTTAAAGGACTTAACAAAATTAAGACACTAATTTCCTGAGCAGATACTGTCAGACAACCCCTCCTCATGGGGTAGGGAAAAGGAAAGGGGAAGGAAATCCTGGGAAAGTAAAAAAGTTTTGCAGATGTGCCTGTGGCAAGGTGCGCTCACATACATGGCACACCCAAGCCCCTGGCAAGGTGGTTCTTGTTCTGGCTTCACAGAAATGAGCCAACTCAGCCACAGGCAGTAGTCTCAACAGAGGTATTAAGTGCTCCACAGTCTCCCAAGCTACTCCCAGTCTCTCCCACCCTGCTGGTTATGCACATCATAAAAGCCATATGTAGGTATATTCAGAAGAGCCGAGTGTAAGATACTATATGTTCTCCTTCTTTTTTTTTTCTTTTAAAGGAATAAACCAATCTATTTTTTCAAAGTAAAACACTGCAAAGGCCACAGTCAATAACGGGGTCCCCACACAGACTACCAGAAAACCTTATCTGCCAAAAAACCCAAACACTGAGCTTAGAAAACAGTACCTACTTCCCATCCTTTGAGAGCAAAGGGCATAATCCCATCCTGTGCCATGCCAACCAGTTTCTTTACAACCATGTCTGGCACATTACATGGACTAAAAAGGAACCAGGAGACTACCACATGCTTGTAAGAAAGGCACAGGAAACTGCAGGTGTCACTTGGATGGGGAATCATCACTCTGGACCCTCACTCCCCAGGGTGCTCGCTTGATCCTGAGAGGACTATCCACACATGCTGCTGGACATGCATCTCCACTGCTACTGAAGCTGGAAGAGGACGGACCCTCCTGCCCTATCCCCAGTATTCCTGTTTAAGGTAGCTGCTCCCTCCCACCAGCTTGTGGTGGGCACCAGCCAGCCCAAGCCTGCCGTGGGAAGGGCTGGGAAAGGCCAAAACGGACAGGAGGGGCTGTCACAGCCCTCCTCAAAGACTGTGAAGGTTGGCAATGAAAGGCACTGACTTACACACTGTTGGAACTAGGGCCTTCTTCGTTAAGACATCCATATAGAGGGGAGGGCAGGTCCTGCCCGATAAGGAATATTTACATGGCAAAAGACTGAGCAGAATGAATTGATCATTTACATTTACATGAATCTCAAGGGACCTTCAGGTCGATGCCAGCCCCGGTCACTCTGTGCTGTGTACTGGCAATAAGACTTCAGACACTGATTTAGGCTCACAGTTAAAAAACAAACCTTCCAAACTCAGGTGACTGAATTCACACATAAAAGCTACACTGGTGGGCAAAGGCAGCCTCACAAACAAAACTGCATCTCTCAGAAGCAGATCACACTGCTGAGTAGAAACTCCCACAGTACAGCAAGGCTAAGAAAGGCAGGCAGATTTTCAACATTCAGGCATCGTTTGATATTTCTTAGCTACAGCTGAAGGTGTACGGTGGGGAAGGACTCACTGCAGTGTTTCCAGAGCACAACAGTTCTCCAAAGCAAGTGAATGGGGCAGAGGTCAGCCTTTCCCCTGGCTCCTCTCCTGAAGGAGGGAATTGTTTTTGCCTTTTTCTCCAGATGAACTTGAAGCTGGCTAGAGGGGGGGCACATTCCTGCCTGCACCTCCTTCCCCTCAAAGAGGCTGTCAAACGTAGGGAGGGGTCTGTGATTTATTTTAGGAGGAGCCAGCTACTTACTGATCCTGTCCCTGTGCAAATACGCAGCCCTTGCAGGTACAAAAGGAAGTGGCAGTGCCCGGAGAAACACATTCAGAAAGCCAGACAGAGGAGACAGAAACAGGAAGCCTTGGGCGTGCCTGAGAAAGATGCTGACAAGCAGGACAGAGAGAAGCAGGGGAGAGATAACAAGGAGCTGTGACATGCAGAACAACATCACTAACAAGCACTGATTAAGGAAAAATAAAAAATTGAAGAGCTGCAAATGCGCTGATCCAGTTCAAGACAAGCAATTTCACAGAGGGTGAAACCATCCCATTGTGCCCATAGGTCCGGCACAGACACAAGAGGCACATGGAGAGGAGGAGAAGGCGGCGAAAGTATAAAAAGTCCCCTCACACCCCCACCATTTGACATTCCCTCCTCCCCAAGTGAGCAGGGACTGTAGCACCCTGTGCCAGGAGGTTTCTGTGAGGAACAGGTGAGCAATGAGCCCTCAGGAGCAACCACAGGTGGCAAAAGCAGAGACACAAGAGTGCAGGCGTGCGTGGTGTAAGGCAGCGCTCCAACAACAACTCTGACACCACAGCTGTGCAGAGAAAAAGAGCGTGAGATTTACAGGATGCCTGGAAAGAGGGGCAAAGAAAAAAATCTGTTCTGTCTCCAAGGCTGAGCTAACTGAGCCAAGTCACCCTGTTGCCTCTTAAGATGCTTCTTTCTACATAAGATATCCTTACTCCCCCCTCCTGTTTCCAAATAAAGTGCAGATGGTCAAATATTACTGGTCCATCATCTGCCAGTTTCAGTCAGCATTGGGGAAATTAAACCCAAAAGCATAATATTGAAAAAAAATAAAATAAAATCTCCCAACAACCCACCCCCAAAATCCCTTAGACTGAAGTCTCTGACTGTAAGCGGAGGACGAATTTATGAGATTTAGGGTCTATGAACTCTTCTGAGAGTTTGATAAAGGGGATTTTTTTCACATTAACAACAAGGCTGAAGTCCAAGCACTTGAGGACAAACACAACGCCGTCTTGTAACCCGCTTGTGACTGCTTCCTCGCTGACCAGTGTCCACTGCTTGGAGAACCAGCGATCCCTGTCATACTGGAGGGTTGGGCCTGGGCTGAGGTAACGCTCCAGGAATGCCTGCCAAGAGCGGGACACACGTTAGCACCAGCCCCATAACTCGACCTGCTCTCTTCCCATCCCCAAATACAGCTCCGCAAGCATGGGCTTGCCAAGCTGCAAATTGTTTCAGCTTTCACACTTCAAAAGACATCTTTCTCCCTAGTCCCTCTTAGCTTTTCAGAACCAGGACACAAACATCAGGAGATCCTCTTTCAGTCCATCCCAGCAAGTTTCCAAAGTTATAGCCCTGACTTCTGCATCAGCACAGCCATCTGGCAGCAGCTCAGTAGAGCAGAGGTCATTTCTCCCCTACCAGCCCCACAACCCATCCCAAAAGTACAGTCCCAGACAGTCAGACAGGATAGCTGGCTCTCTCCTTCAGGCCAAGCTAAGGTAGTAAACAGTTGCCTCCATGTTTTCAGAGAGTGAAAAACTGAAAATAGAACGCAAAATGCCATTTGACCTTATTTGTATTTTAAAGTCCCCCCGCAATATTAATGGCAGCAGAAATCCCCTTCCATATGTGGGCAAAGTCCTAAGTGGCTCAGAATGAGAGGGTGCTAAGCCCCATCTCTTGACAGCATTTCTGCTCTTGCTGCAGTAAGTCCTGGGTGAACGCCCAAGAATAACCCTTCCCTAGGACCGTGGGGTGTTCTTAGAAGGGAAGGTAGAGAGTGGGAGGGGAATTGTGTGACCCGTTTCCCTTATCATTCAGTCCCTCCCTGTGTCTGCAAGTCAACAGTCACAGTCTGGGCATGAAGCAGCAAACTATGCTTGATCAAGCAGCTCATGAATTAGAAACACTGTCAGAGAGACAGAGATTTAGACAATAATTAACAATCCAAAATGCAGCAAGGCAGAGGGCCAGAAAACCAAAGAAGACCTTTGCAGGTTGCTACCTGCATCATCCTGCTACCACAAGCCAGATGGGAAACTTCCTGTGACTCAAAGCCACTCTTTCAAATATTTATTAAGCATTGCCTTTTGGAATTGGATTCAAGAACACATACCTCAGAGGCACTTTCAGATAAAAAGAGACAGAAGATACTGCGGAGGAAATATTACTTCCCTTCAAGACTTGATGCAACCTACACCACACTGGACAATTCACAGGAAGCAACTATGAAACCCTTCACTCACCTCCCTTGACAACCTTCTGTTCTGCTTGTGCACACAGATGTGCCATCCCCTTCTCCCTCCCTCCTGCAGCAGCGTTAGAGAAGGCATTCATTACCTTTGGTGTCATGTTGTTGGTGATGCAGAAGGACAAGTGTTGCAAGATGCTCTCCATGCTGTGGTACTGCTGCTGGCACGTGGTGCGAAGGTACTTCTGCAGAGCTCTTGCCATGGAGGGGAAGATGGCCTGGGCTGCCTCTCGGGGGTCCATCATCTCTCCTGGAGATTTCTGCTGTTCCTCTGCCTGGAGGCGTTTGATGTGAGTGAAAGCCTCTTCTACCGCAACTACGAGCCTGCAGCAAAAAAATTAGGACAGCAAGAGTCATAACAAGAAGTAGAATGGGTCTGTGGTTAAGGCAGAGCCTGGGAGTCAGGATTTACAAGCCTCCTATTCCCATCTGCTATCAAGTCACTGCCTGCCACCAGTTTACACAAAACCTTCTCTATTGACAGTCTGAGAGGCAGACAGCAGCTTTTCCTTCCTTGCCCAAGCCATCCAGCAACTGAGGGCCATAAACCAGGATTAAGACTAAAGCCCTGAGCACTGCACCTGTGCTGCCAGCACAGCATAAACATCAGCTACATGACTCAAACAAAACGCAGCTGCCCTTGTATTTAAGTGTCTGAGTACAGTGGTCCCAGCACACAGGACTGCAGCATGAAGCACAGGCCGGGCAAGCACGAAGGGGGAGGCTGACCACACCCCAGTGTGACCCAGGACACAGCCTGCTCCCACTCAGTGCTCACAAGCTGGTGTCTGCTTCCATTTCCACCAGCTGGGTGCAGAGCTTGTGCTGCCCAGTGACTGCCCTGCACCTCACTCCACTGAACAGCAAGGGTGAAAGAACTCCTCCATCTTTACTCCTAACGCTGTAGCTAAAGGCATCCTCTGCAAAGCATTCCTGTGTTGGCACAGGTGAGCAAACACCAAGACCACACCATAAAAGGGGAACAGATGTCTTATGACACTCATTGTTTAGAACTGGGCTAATTTGGAAGTGAGGGGCTGTACTGCAGCTAGTGATGAAAAAACAATAATGGAAGAGCCACCCAACAGAACTCTTCAGCCCCTTCAGACAAGACTTGTTTTATACTTAATTTCCTCTCAAGTCACCAATGACTGTCCACTATGATCTCAATATCCAATGCATCTTAAAGCCAGGGGCCGCTACCTCACCACAAGCAGAGGTATAGCATACTGCATTCAGAATGCACATGAGGAACAGTTCAAGAAGTCCTGATCCTTGCCCATTTTGTCTAATTTGACATGGGGAAGGTGTTTTTAAACTCCTGGCCTGAAACATCTGGCCTTATATAGAGACTGGCGGTTTCCCTCTGACAAAGCAGTTGCTCTAACCAAACTCGGCAAGCATGGGAGATGTGCCCAAGTTTGGATGCTACACTTCACAGAACAGCAAGTCTAAGGCTTGCTGTTCCGAGGCTGGAAAAGGACCTAAAAGAGGCCATAGACACAGACCAGACTGAAGCAGGCAAGGAGGGGACATAGTGCCAGCACTTTCCCAATGAAACAAACTGACAAAGAAAACTCAAAACAAGCCAGCTTCCTTCCAAATACAGCTCAGTTCAGGGAAGCCTGCCCATAAGCAACTTGCCTCAAACTGTTAGGTATGCTAACTACAGACTGCAATGGGGCTCCTGAGCGAACAGAGGCACTGTCTTGGGTCACCTCAACAAAGCATCCTCTGCAGCCTAAGCATGACTGGCAGAAGACATATGTATGTTCGAAAATACAATGTAACTGCTGGTGGTCAAGCCTTTCCTCTTCAATTCACTGAAAGCCAGTCAAACTGTCCCTTTGACTAGCCTGCAAACACAAATATTCTCCTCACCCATGAATGGGCAACACCAAGCACTCCACTGATCCTGTCTCTGGATTACTTCAGCTGACAAGCCTGGGTATGGGAGAAAATAACTGGATTTCCTACCAAGTAACTACAGACTTGTCAAGCACCGGACTGTTCCCTAATCAATGACACTGCATTAGCTTATCGGCCTCATATACATGAGTTCAGCTGCATGCACGTTCTTCGGATAATAATTCGGATAAATAAGTTGCAAGCTGTCACCATCCCTTATACACCTGGGTTTCATAAGCTTCCTCCCTGTGCCAGATTTACAGCCAGCCCTTCATGGTGGGTTGGGGGCACCCTCCAGGATCAGCAAGCCCCGCGTGGTCAAGCCTCACAGCAGCACCCGGGACAGGGTGGCTTTACCTTGCCCGGCGTTTCTTCACACGGCGCTCGTGGTCGGCCTCCTCGTAGTAGAGCTCATTGTGGCTGGAGTCCCTGCGCCGGGCGGCAGCCGCGATCATGGCCCGGGACTGCCCCGACGCGTTGTTACCTGGGCCTGCAGGGGCAAAAACGGGCACAAAGGAGACAAAGGCGGTGTTAGTGCCACAGGGCTGCCGCTGGGACAGACCAGCACCCCATGGCAGCTGTCACATGCTCTGGGGCTCCAGCCTTCCCAGCCAGCGCTATAAACCCTTCCCCAGTCCTCAGGAGCTCCAGTAGAAACCTTGCAAGGCAGCACAGGCTTAGAGAGGGCATTCTGGCATGTGGACAAGGGAAGTTAGTTGGGATGGAGGGTCTCACACAATATACATAAAGGCAGAGTGAGGTGAACATGCCAAGGATACAACCTAACCCCCATTATATATGCTTTCAGTTTGAAGGCAAGGGCAGCTGGAGCATATCACATTTCAGCATCAAGACAGTGTGAGAGCACAAAAAGTGAGAAGATGGAAAGAGAAGAGAGACAAACACAAGAACATAATGAGACATGGAGATGAATAAATGAAAGCCAAACTCCAGACGGTTATTTACAGGAAGAAGAAACAGGATGCAGGGGACGGCAGGGTCACCTTTAGACAAAGCATAGAGTTTCCCAGAAGGGCGGATGTTGTCAGAGCAGCAGCCCCACAACAGGGTAAGATGGGGTCTGCATGTGTAATAGCTTCTCATGGCACTCTGAGCAGCACCTGCCATTAGAGCTTCTGCTGCTAACAGATCCTACACAGCCACAGGAACAGGGAAGCTGCCATCTGCTCTGTAACACCCAGTTGGTCCATATAGTTGTCTACTACGATATGTTAACTACTGACCTTAAAATACAGTCCTAGGTTCTGCAGCTCTCCCATGAAGCCCTCAGCTCTGGCTTTTCAGGTAGCAAGATGAAAAAGGTTGCCCCAGAAGAGTTTACAAACCCTTCAATCCAGATAGAGGGCAGAGGTGGGTCTATCCAGAGAGAAGTGGTAGTCTAGGACTGCCTCCAAGCCACCAGAAGCTGCTTTTGTGCCAAACTTCTCTGAAAGCCCACACTCTCAGCTGGCAGCGGTTAAAGCCAATCAATTGCACAGACATGCTCAAAACTGTTCTGCTCAAGCAAGGGCAACTCATTAATTTTTTCCTAAAAAGCCCAAACTAGATTCCAAGACAGAAGCCTAAAACTCAGCAGCGGGAAGAACAAGCACTCACACAAATAGCTTCTTAAGAGTCCAAACATTTCAGACTTTGTTTGACAGGCCTGAAATGGAGAATATGACTCAAGGGAGACACTATCTCCCAAATTTGGGATACATCTTTAATTTGCCTCATTGACTATACCTGGCAATGAAAATCCTGGTTTTGAAGATGAACCTCCCCACTCTCATAAGAGAGATTACAGTAATATGTTTTTCTTTCCTGGCTGCTGCTGTATCAAATACAAAAGCTGTCAACAAATTAGGCTGCCTTAATAGCATTACTGTCTCTTTACAAGAAGAGTAGAAGAGACTGTGAGGCTGCCAGGGTAAGCTGCAGCCAGAACTACACTCTGCTTTGTAAGATGGATGGAATCTTCTTCTCTAAGGCTGATATTTTCATGTCCACAAAGGCAGCAGCATTGCACACAGAACAGACCAGGCAACTGTTACTGCCCCAGAAGGGAAGGAAGGAGTTTACAGGCCCTGGCAAGCTCACAAGCCTGACACTTGGAAAGCCCTGCCAGCCACATCTGCAGCTTGCTTCTGGTTCTTTCTCTTCTAATGAAGCCTCATGAGCTAGCAGCTTTTGAGCCACTCATACTACCAGACTGACAGTTTTTTCTCTGAGTTTGGGAGTCCCACTGTCCCAGCAGGTGCTGGAGGAAAAGAGAGCACCCCACCTCCTGAAGAGATACTCAGTGAGAAGACAAGCCAATAATCAGAATGGCACACCCTGCAGCCAGTCTGCCAGGCTGTGGGGTCTGAATAGTATGCAGACACCTGTGGGATTGGGAAGCCCTCACCTTCCCTACACCAGGCCTCACTGAGGCCAACCAGTTGGAATGAATGATTTCACCTCTAGAAAAATGAAGAGCATTTCTGTTTGCATATCTGATTGCTTCCCCTCTCCAACACAACTCAACCAAGAGCATCACTCCAAGCAGCAAAGGACACATGATGGGCAACCTCTCCTACCCCTTCCCTCACTTCCCCCCTTCCTCTGTCAGGATGGGAGTATCTCACTGTAAGGATCTAAATCACCAATTAATGTTATCACAAGAATCACAAGGTTGGAAGAGACCTTCAAGACCATAAAGTCCAACCTGTTTCCTGACACCTCAACTAAACCATGGCACCGAGTGCCACACCTAGTCTTTTTTTAAACACATCCAGGGCTGGTGACTCTACCACCTCCCCGGGCAGACCATTCCAGTACTTTATCACTCTTTCCGTGAAAAACTTTTTCATAATATCTAACCTATATTTCCCTTGACGCAACTTAAGACTCAGACTTCTCGTTCTGTCAGTTGCTGTCTGGAGAAACAGACCAACTCCCACCTGACTACAACTACCCTTCAGGAAATTGTAGGAAGTGATAAGGTCTCCTCTGAGGCTCCTTTTCTCCAGGCTGAACACTCCCAGCTCCCTCAGCCGTTCCTCAGAGAGGGCTTGTGTTCCAAGCCCCTCACCAGCTTTGTTGCCCTCCTCTGGAAGCGCTCAAGCGTCTCAATGTCCTTCCTAAACTGAGGAGCCCATAACTAGACACAGTACTCAAGATGTGGCCTCACTAGTGCCGAGTACAGGGGAAGAATGACTTCCCTGCTCCTGCTGGCCACACTATTCCTGATACAGGCCAGGATGCCGTTGGCCTTCTTGGCCACCAGGGCACACTGCTGGCTCATGTTCAGCCGGCTGTCGACCAGTACTCCCAGGTCCCTTTCTGCCCGGGCACTGTCCAGCCACACTGTCCCCAACCTATAACGCTGCAGGGGGTTATTGTGGCCAAAACACAGGACTCGTCACTCGGACTTATTAAACTTCATTAAACTTGTTAGACTCCGCCCATTCATCCAAACGTTCCAGGTCTCTCTGCAGAGCCATCCTACCTTCCATCAGACTGACACATGCTCCCAACTTAGTGTCATCTGTAAATTTACTAATGAAAGACTCAATCCCCTCATGCATGTCATCAATAAATATATTTAACAGAACTGGCCCCAGCACAGACCCCTGAGGGACACCACTGGTGGCTGATCCCCAGCTGGATGTAGCACCGTTCACCACCACTCTCTGGGCCCGGCCATTCAGCCAGTTCTTAACCCAGCAAAGAGTGCTCCTGTCCAAGCCGTGGGCTGCCAGCTCTTCCAGGAGTATGCTGTGGGAGACAGTGTCAAAGGCCTTGCTGAAGTCCAAATAGACAACATCCACAGCCATTCCTGCATCCACCAGGCGGGTCACATGGTCATAAAAGGAGATCAGGTTGGTCAAACATGACCTACCCCTCCTAAACCCATGCCGGCTGGGTCTGATACCCTGGCCATCCTGTAGATGCTGCTCAGTATAAGTTGCTCCATTATCTTGCCAGGTACTGGGCGTCACATTGGCCAGCTTCCAGGCATCTGGAACCTCGCCAGTGAGCCAGGACTGTTGGTAAATGATGGAGAGTGGCTTTGCAAGCTCATCTGCCAGCTCCCTCATCACCCTGGGGTGGATCCCATCTAGTCCCATTGATTTGTGAATATCCAAGCATCTCAGAAGTTCTCTGACTGCCTCCTCTTGGATAATGGGGGGACCATCCTGTTCCCTGGCACCATCAACCAACCCAAGAGGACAGCTGTCCTGGGGACAAGCCATCTTCCCACTAAAGACTGAGGCAAAGAAGGTGTTAAGCACTTCTGCCTTCTCCTCACCTGCAGTCACTAAGTTCCCTCTCTCATCCAGTAAAGAACAAAGGTTGGTCTTACCCTTCCATTTACCATTAATATATTTGTAAAAACATGTTTTATTATCCTTTACAGAAGTCACCATTTTAAGTTCAAACTGAGCTTTGGCCTCCCTAATATTTTTCCTACACGCTCTAGCAGCCCCCTTAAATACTTCCTGAGAGACCTGACCCTCCTTCCAAAGATGATACATCCTCCTTTTATTCCTAAGTTCCTTCAAGACCTCCTTGCCTATCCAAGCTGGACGTTTACCTCATCGACTTGTCTTTCGGTACACAGGGACAGTCTGTTCCTGTGCCCTCAAGATCTCTGTTTGGAAGCACGCCCACCTATCCTGGACTCCTCTGTTTTTAAGGGCTGCTTCCCAAGGAACTCTCTGAATAAGTCTCCTAAGTAGGCCAAAGTCTGCACTCTGGAAGTCCAATGTAAGAGTCTTATTGGTGTTCCTCCTGATTTCACCAAGTATTGAGAACTCTACAATTTCATGATCGCTCTGCCCCAAGCGGCCTCCAACCACCACATCTCCCACCAGCCCATCTCTATTTGAAAACAGCAGGTCTAATGTAGTCCCTCCTCTGGTGGGCCCGCCCACCAGCTGTGACAAAAAGTTGTCCTCCATACACTCTAAAAATTTCCTGGACTGCCTCTTTTCTGCTGTATTAAGTTCCCAGATGTCTGGTAGGTTGAAGTCACCTACAAGAACAAGGGCTGATGATCCTGAAACAGCACCTGGCTGCTTATAGAATAAGTTGTCTCTTCTACCTGGCTGGGTGGACGATAACAGACTCCCAGTAGGATGTCAGCCTTGTTGGCCTTCCACTTAACTCTTATCCATAGGCATTAAACTCCATTAGTTTCAATACCTATGGTGTCAAAAGCCTCCTTAATATAAAGGGCCACCCCTCCACCTCTTCTCCCTTTCCTGTCTCTTCTGAAGAGCTTGTAGCCATTCAGTACAGTGCTCCAACTATGTGAGTCATCCCACCATGTTTCTGTGATGGCAACTACACCATAGTTCTGCTGTTGCACCATGGCCTCCAGCTCTTCCTGTTTGTTACCCATGCTGCATGCATTGGTATACATGCACCTCAGCTGGGCTACTGACTTCACCCCTAGCTCAGGCTTACCACCCTTGGGCCTGCTTTCAGACAGCCCAGTTGCATCCCCTTTCCCCTTCAGACCTAGTTTAAAGCCCTCTCAACAACGCCTGCCAGGTCATGAGCTAAAAACCTTCTGCCCTTAACAGAGAGATGGATCCCATCTGGTTCCAGTAGAGCAGGTGCCGTAAAAGTTGCCCCGTGATCAAAGAATCCGAAATTTTGCCGATGACACCAAGCCTTGAGCCACTTGTCAATGATGTGAGTTCTCCTATTTCTTTGATCATTTTTCTCTGCGACCAAGGGGACTGAGCAGAACACTATCTGTGCTCCTGTCCTATCAACCACTTGACCCAGTGCCCTAAGGTCTCTTTTAATTGCCTGGACACTCCTCTTTTCAATCTCATCACTGCCAGCCTGGAGTATCAATAGTGGGTAATAATCAGAAGGCTGAATCAGCCTAGGAAGTCTCTCAGTGATATTTTGTACCCCGGCCCCGGGGAGGCAGCAGACCTCCGTGTGAGATGGGTCCGATGGAAATACAGGGCCCTCTGTTTCCCTCAGAAGGGAATCACCCACTACGATTGCCCTTCTTTTCCTCTTGATGTTAGAGGTGGTAATCCTTCTTTTAGATGAGTCATAATCGGGAGGCTCACTGGGCAGATAATTTTCTTCTAAATAATCTGGCTGGCTCTCTAGTTCCAGGGCCTCATACCTATTCTGAAGTGGCACCTGGCTAGGGGACGGGAGGCAGGAGGAATTTTTATTATTACCTCCCTGAGCAGGGATGCATTTCCACTCCCCTTCGTCTACCAGGTGCCCTTCTATCGCCCGAGAGTGAGAGGCATATGAGTCCTCTGACTCTTGGTGGGCCTCCCTTGAAGATGTAAGGGCTGAACTCCACCAGTCTATTTCCCTTTCACTATCCCTGATACTCCTTAATCTTTCAACTTCCTCCCTAAGCTCGGCCACCAGTGAAAGGAGGTCGTTCACCTGTTCACACCGTAGGCAGGCGTCCTCCACAACACCCCCTGAAACCACTGATAAGCTCAAACACTCCAGGCAGGAATGGGTCTGTACAGACACATCCTTTTTGGAGGGCTCCACTTGGTCACAAACACTTGTACCAACCAAAGATTTCGACCTAGTTAAAACCATTACTAGGAGAAAGCCCAAAATCAAGCAGCCAACAGAAACAGCTCAAACAACACACAGCATACCTAACTAGCAAGAAGACCTGCAACCCTGCCTGCTTGCCCTGCCTGCGTGAACCGCTGCGCAAACTGCTGTGTCCACATCCCTGTTTGCCGGCTCCAGGTCGCTGAGCTCCCCAGAGGCCTCTTATAATAAGTCACACAGCAACAAAGAAGTTCCACCTCCCGTTCCTGAGTAGCTCACAATGGACTCAGGAGTGCTGCATGAGGTTGGAGAAGACTTTAGGATAAGGTCTTTGAAACTCCCGAAAAATGAAAAAATCCAAACAAACAAATGAATCAAAAGGGAAAATGAAAACAAAATATTCTACACCCATAGGGTGTTGAAAGTGAAATGATCACATCTCTTGTTTTTCTATATGACAGATATTCTTCATATTCCAGTCTCCACACCATGCACACAGAGACACCTTGTCCAGCTAAGTCCCGTCAATCTCCTCTTCCCAGCTCTCAAAGCCCTTCAATAGTAAAAAATTCATGGGCAGGATGTGCCTTTACCACATTTTGTCACTCAACTTCAGCAATCTTCACCATAAAAACTTTACTACTCAACTTCGACTCTTCCAAAGCAATGCGCACCTCTATAAAGGCTGCTGGGCACACTCTATTTTCACTGATTAGGCATAAGAGTGTCAAATGATTAAGTCCAGTTTTCACTGCTTTGAGCATCCACATTCATCCATCCATCCATCCATCCATCCATCCATCCATCCATCCATCCATCCATCCATCCATCCAATTTTCAAAAGCCCCAAAGCTTGAAAACGTAGAACAGCAAAGCTCAATGGGGATTGTTATCTGTGTGTGAATTTCCATGGCCATGGGTGAGCCAGGCATAGCTCATTTAATGCTGAGGCTGCAGGCTGATGAGAATCACTTTCATCAGCAACTGCTGCTTATACCGTGGCTCCTTCTCTTTCCTGAAAGTTGCATGTGAAAGCAGCACAATAGAGGACTGGGGAACTCATTTAAGTTAAAAGTTGTGTTTATTGTACTATCACAGCTAAAGAGAGACTCAAGGGTGACAAAAAGCAGAGGCTGCTGGAAACAAGCAGTGGTGCTAAAAAGTGTCAAACCACATGACAATTAAGCCCATGTGGCCATTTCACCTGGCAAAGACAAAAGCCTTATTGTGGGATAAACACATCTGTAAAGTCATCTGGAACTGGCAAACTCAGCACTGCTAGAAAGATTTCCAGCAAGAGACAAGGATTTGGCAAAGCAAAAAGGTGAGAATGTGTGCATAACAAAGCATAAAGCAAATCCAGCCCCTCCCCATCCCACCCGGTCTCAGCCACTACCATCAACATTGTAGACTTTCAGGCCAGCCATGTGCTTGGCTGCTCGGGATTTGGAGGCTGTTAACAAGGCTGGGTTGTAGACTGTAAAATCTCGGTAGTAATTTTCCAGAACCACCAGTGCAGCTCGTTGGATGCTGAGGAAAGAAGAAAAAACAAAATAAGACTAATTCTCTCAGATCAAAACAAGTTCTCTTGTTTCCATAAAATATATTTTTAAAAAAAGGAAGGAAGAATAGTGATATTATTTGGAACACAGTTGTCAAGCCTATAGGACCGTGCAATACACAGAATATTAATTACTCTTTCTAGGACCTGAACTTTCACTTGAGATGCAAGGTAAGTATCTCTGCCTCAGCTCAATAGGAGGATGACAAGAAATCCCTAAACAACGGCAGCACAAAGTGAAGCACGAGGCTGCCTGCAGCATGGGAAATTACAGAACAAGGGCTCAGCCCACCTTGGCAGTACAACCATTGTGTGCAGAGACCTTACGCAGGCAGAAGGCCAGAACACCACACGGTTTTTGCTGTAGCTGGCCAGCCTGGATGGAGGGACCAGGTCAGGATGGATACTTTTCCTTCTGTGTCATTTCCAGCCTCACCTTGCAGCTCCTCAGACCTCCTCCATTCCAGCACTGACAAGAGTGTGATCTCTTCAACTTTCACAGCAAGATAGGCTGCCAGATATAGGATTACCTCAGTATTGCTTGTTAAATCTCTGGCTAGGGACAGAATGAGGAGTAGTAACACTCCCTCCATCCCTATGAAGGGATGCCTCTACATAAAATGATGACACATGGGAGCAAAACAAACACACAAAATAAACATGCGCCAGAAGCAGGAAAGGCTCAACCCAGAATTATCTTCCTTTGCAATCCTTTTGACAATGAAGAGAGAGAGATGTCTGTGGGCCCTGTTACCAACAAATAGGGCAGCACTTCAAAACAAGCCTGAGCTCTGGTGTTTAAAAATGTGGGAATAGGACTGAGCTCTCTCCATGCTGCTCTGGCTCTGTGCCTCAGCATGGCACTCAACTGGCAGGGGCATTCTCAGCAAATCACCAAGATGACCCATTCAACCAACTGGAGTTTGCCAAGGACCCACACTAAAAATAGTTTTTGTGCGTTCAAAATTAACAATTGCCAACACATTTGTTGCCAGTGAATTGGAAAGGTCACACTTACCAACAAGATCTCTCCGAAGAAAAGCAACAAAGTGCTCTCATACATGTTACAACATAGGAAGAAAACATTACAAGGACTATAATGTGCGAAAAGAAGGCATGAACAAATCAAGCCCTAAATCCAGTGCTCAGCGCTACCGCAGATCCTGCGTGTGTTCCTCGGGGAGCAATTTAAATTTTGCTGTGCTTTGTGCTAATATTGAAACTTCTGCATCACACCCAAGTAATTTAAACACATATACATACACACACACCCCCCCCACCATACTCACTCTACAGCTGCTACACTCCCACTGCTCAGTGAATTAAGCACAGATGCCAGCCCGTTCAAGAGATTCTGAGAAAGAAGAACAAACCCAGACTTGTTCACTGAGTAGCTTCATTAGTCAGTATTATGGTACATCACCATTCATTTGCTGTGTACCTTTGAGATGATTAATTTAGCTTTTGATGAAAATTCCATCCTTAGGATCGTTTAGAGGGTTCTTTTGGATCCAGCTAGAGTGTCTTAAAGAAGCTTTACCTTTCAGTTGCCACTCCATATTTCCTCACCTTACATTTGGCAAAAAGCAACTCCATTTATGCACTTAGCTACTGATTTGTGATAAAGAGCCACTAGTTAACCAAGAAAACAATTCTCCTTCCATGAAGTAATACAGACTGACCCACTGCCAGACACACGTAGATGCTGACACAGAACAGGTGAAAGCCGTTATATTTATCCCTGCCATGCTTCTGATTTCTACTGAGAATTTGCTGCAGCCTATAAACAAAATTTCATAAAAGTAATCATGTGGCAGCAGCACATATTCCCCCTTCTGATTGCATTCAAACATTATCAAGTTTTTCCGTCTCTGCTTCCCAGGAAGATAAAACTCCATAGAGTTTCACCACAAAACACAATGTTTGGAAAACCAGACCAACTCAAAACAGAAAGATAAAAATGAGCAGTTATTCTCCGTTAATACAGTGTACTCATTTCAAACAGCACTGGAACTTCCATCCCAGCATTGGGAAATATTTGGGAGCTCCACTGACCAACTAGCTCTATTAGGACAAAACACAATGCATCACAGCAGAGAATAATTTATTTTACACCTAAACATTTTACCTGGACCCCACCAACATTATCATCAGGATGCCAGCTTTCCCCACCTAATATCCCTTCCATTCCCTCATAAAATAACCTTCCCACCAATTTGTTGGCATGTGCACTCCAAGTCCAAACACAACAAAAATTTTACATTGCAGCAAGCAACAATCATTGTCCTGAAAATTAAAGCCCGGACATTTGTTGCTGACGCAAATCCAGTACAGACTCAATCCCACACGAGATAGCCCAGTCACACAGAGGGGTCTTCTCTATGGAAGAGGAATGTAATAAGCATCAGTTTCCTGAATTTCTACCAGCCCACTTCTGTCTCCCATGTAGTCCATCCCACCCTAGTCCTGCATGGCAGGTTAGGAAGACAGATACAACTACAACACTTCAAATTCTCTGTTGCAGGAAAAAAAAATAAAATTAGAAGCTGCAGACAAGCAAATTAAAAGGGTCTCAAACATTCACAAGAGCAAGGAAGAGGCTGAATCAGAGCCTCCTGAGCTGTGGTGCTCAACCCCTTCACCCACATCAAGGGGAAGCCTCACCCTGCCCTGCGCAGGACGGCCAGCCCTGCCCCACACGGGTCCTGCAAAGCAACAAGAGCCCACGCTCCGAACATGCACAGCACCCCGAGCACAGCAGAAGAGCACCCAACACTCTTGTGCAACACCACACACCAGGAGGAGGGCAACTGCAGGCATGGCAGCACCCAGAGCAGCCCGGAAGAGCCATCATCAGCGAAACAAACACCAAGGAAGTCTGCTGTCTCCCGACAGCAATCCAGGCTTTCTGGGCTGCCCACTTCAGGGCAGACCCTCTACTGCCCTGCTAGCAAGGTGTAGGGGCTGCAGGAAGCCGCATCTCCACCCAACACGGCAGCTTTAGCGCGAATGGAAACCGGCAGCCTTCCTGGAGGAGCAGCTTCCCTGCAGCACTGTCTCGGGAAGAGTTCAGCACCATGTCGGTCACTGCATTCATTCACCCCTCATTTCAGCGAGTTGGGCCGAAGCTTTTCTTTTGTTCAGTGCCTGGAAAGAATGGGAAGGGGGAGGAAGAGAACGAACACAGAGTCTCAATACTTAATTGCCTGTACTGAAAGGGGTTAGAAGATCGTTCTCACGTCCCATCGAGAGGGTCTGGCAGCCCAGCATATTCCAGGCATTGTAGCAAACCACCAGAACGCAGAAAAATTGTATTACACAAACACAGAAATAATCGTATAAAGGCTTGGATTGGAAAGGACCTTAAATATCATTCAGTTCTAACCCCACCCCCTGTCCGCCCCCGCCATGGGCAGAGTACAAAAATCAGGACACAAATGGCATTTCCATGCAACAGTTCAGATTTAAAACTTATGGCACGAGAGGAAAACCTCTTGCACAATCCAGCAGCCTACCGGAAACACAGTTTTCCTTGCAGGCAGTGTCAGTGAGGCTCTATGCTTCGTTGCTTTGCGTTTTGTGCAGCTGGAGGGTTGCTTGTCTCTAATTATTATTTTTGCTCCCCTAAAGAAGGCCATGTCACAGCATGCTGCCAAGAGGGAAAACAAACGAGCAGACCTAGCACAAGCACAGGATACCCCAGTGGCACTTGGCAGCAGAGAAATGCAGAGCCCTTTACTAACAGTAAGGAATTAACTTTTACAGGGCATCCAAGGAAGTGGAGGAGGGGATATGCGACACAAAATTAGCAATTATTTTTTCTCTCAAAACAGTAAGTCAAGAGCAGTTTCGTCTGAGTACTTGCTGCTACAAAAATTTTGAATATTAGCAGTCCATACACTGCACTTCAGAGGCCATTTTTATTTTGTATTTGCCTTCTGTGACACAAGTACACCAATACCAAAATTGGCTTCCTTAGCGGATTTCTAGGAAAACAGGCCAGTACTATACTGAAGCAAAGCACCAGGAAAAAAGCCTATTTATATCATCAAAATACTGGCTTTGTACACTGGTGGTTTCTAGGAAAAGAGGTTTGAGTTTTATGAAGTGGTGGGAAACGGTGGTGAAAATAAAAAATAAAGGGAGAAAAAAAGATTAAAAAGTGAGGCCACACCTCCATGCACCTGTCACTCACACAGTTTTAGCAGTTTTCTGCTTTCCTGCTAAGCCAGAAATGTAGCTTGTCATGGTACTATACCAGACACCAGCAGCCACTGAGAATCATCGAGGGCAGAGGAGTGCCCCAAACTTTTGCAACAGGTCTGTGTACACATCCAGAAAGAGCTGAGCTGTTTGCTACCAGAGCATTCTTGCTATGGATGAAGATCTTGCAGCATCAGGGTTTAGAGTGAGCCACACACCCCTAAAATACAGAGATAGTCAGAGGTTTGATGACTGCTGTGCTAACGGAGGAAGCCTGGGGTTATTTAATGAAATGGCTCCCAGCACAGACACCTTTCCTCCAAACAACATTTTTCTCAACGTTCTTCAAAACAGACACCGCATCAAAATAAGCCAAGTTCTCTGGGCACATTAAACTCTTGCCACAGCCAATTGGGAAGTTTGGCACCTCAAAGAAAAGGTAAGAAAAGATTTCACAACACAGCCTTCCAAGGAGAGCCAGCTTTCCCTCACCAGATGTCTCCAGCCTACAATTGCATCAAGCCTTCCTACTGCAAGAGATACTGAGGTCTCCTAGGGCACTGAGCTGCTCATCCACAGCACTTTGTACTCTCTAGAAGTGCTGTCAGCTCACATCCAACAGGCTCAGAGGACTGCTCTGCCTTCCCTCGCCTGATTCACACCTCCCTCCCAGAAAAATCCCTTTTTTCCTTTCTCATACACTTTTGCCAGAGCACAGAGCTAGGGCTCAAGTTCCTGTTCCTTCACCCTTTTGGACTGTTTTCCC